TGTCCCTGCGCTCCCCCAGCCTCTCCGTTGTCACCATCACTTCCCCCCCCCCCTCTGCCACTCTTCCCCCACCCCTTCCCACCTGCCCATTCCCCCCACACCCTCCCCTCTCTCCCACCTGCCCACCACCACTGCCACTTCCCTACCTGCTGGGCCAGGTCAGGGCCATCCCACACATAAGGGTGGGAGCCCAGCATGCGCTGCCCATGCAGGAGTGAGCAGGGCTCGGCCCCATGTGAGCACAGCAGGGGCAGCCCAGAGCAAAGCCAAATACAGGGAACGGGGGGGTTCGGGCCGGGACCAGATTGGGGGGGGGGGCAGAAAAAAAAAAAAAAAATCACCTGGAAGGCCGTATTTCGCCAACCCCTGTTCGATAGGAAGATGTCACCAGAACAGCTACACGTTCCAGCAGCAAAGAAGTCACTAATAAAATACTGAAGAGCCACGTTTTCAACCAAGGGCAGTCTAATCCATCAGCATGGGAATCTGTCAGATGACGCCCATATTCAAGTTTTCATGAGGACTGCAATAGCTCGAGATGTTGCCTTCTTCCTAGTACTTACTGTTCATCTGAATCTGCAATATGACAATACCCACACCTCTCACAGATCCCAGTTTACTCTACACAGCTGACAAGCAGCAGCCAAATTCATTCAGTCATGGAAGCACTTTCAATAATAAAACACGCTCAAGAAACACAATGATTAAGTACTTAAAGTCCCTAAACAGAATTCTTTTTCCGAGTTCTACATGAAGTGTTCATGATACTTTAGACACCCTTCAGGGATCTCCAGTCAGTTAATTTAGCTCTGTACCAGGCAACCCTTAACATAGCCGCAGTTTCTCCACAGAAATGCCATACAGGAGGAGCTACGAGTAGGTCTAGTCCCCAGTTTTAATTCTGTTCCTCCCCCTGCATGAGAGATCTATGTCCCTAACTATTCACTCACAGGCTCAGAAGATTGTGTGCACACAGGGGACTGCAAAACCCTCTCTGCAGGACTTCCTCCTGCCCCAGCTCAAGATTCAGAAACTCAAATAGTCTCATTAGCCATGTGATTAGATGTGCAGTTCTGTGGTCACCTCTAGAGCCTGGAGGGCTCCAGAAAGTCTTCCCATTTGATGTGGAGAATCAAATGGGAACAGTGCCTCCACTGTGAGGATCCTCAATCACATCTTCACTGAACTCACCAACACCATGCTGGTAACACTGACTTCAGCAAGGATGCTGGCATTTGTGGTGATCTTCCCCATTTGGTGTGGAAGACTTTCTGAAGGCACTGTTGGTGACACCTCTCCAGGCTCTAGCCACAACTACAGTCAACTGAGTTACTGCACTCCCAGCCCGTGTCTGGGCATCTAACCACATGGCTAATGAGCACATTTGAGTTTCTGGCAGGAGGAAGTCGTGCAGAGAGGGTTTTGCAGTCCTCTGTGTGCAGACAAGCTTCTGAGACTGGGAGTGAATGGTTAGGGATACAGTCTAGGTTATCTCAGGTCCAGTGAAGTCAACTGAGTTACTGAAGTTTCAGAGGTTGACCATTTGGCACCAAATACCCACCTGAACCCTAATGTTTTGGACCCTCAAAGTTGTATGACCCTATGGCGACCCAACATAGTACAGTCCATGAGTAGATTTAAGCTCTGTAAATAAGTTGGTTTTGAAAGGATGAAAAACCACTGTTTCTGTGTTGCATAAAGTGGACACCCTTGTTTCTCAGTTACAGCAACAAGCCATGCCTTCCCCACTTTAATCAAGCTGTTCACATTTCTCTCTCTCTCCAGACTACATTTGGCAGCTAGAAACACACCCTCAGCCTTCCATGGGAATCAGGTCACTACAGAGCTCTTGAACCCTTAATATCTGGGACAAGTGAATACCCGTGGCTGGCTATTGCAGTCAAGGCACATAGCCCACATGCTGCCATCTCTTCCCTACTCTTAAAAGACCATGACTCTAAGAGCCCACTGACACAAAAACATGCATTTTCATTGACCTACACACACCCAACCCACAAAACATCCCAACCACACCTCCTCACAGGCAAAGCCTCACCATTATGTTGTTCGAGAGCACCCAGACGGTAAGCACGTCAAGAATAATTAAAAATGCTCCCATGATTAGATGGGTGCATTTGGAAACAGTTTTCTGGCTACAAAGAACCACAGCCAGGAAGAGACACCACACACCTGCAGCTACTTTTGCTCAAGAGCTCTTTTGCTCACCCCTACCACTCTTGACAGCAGCAGACATAGCACCGCCTGGGTGGCTCCTTCAGCCTTTCTGCGGCACATCAGACCAGGAAGAAGGCTCTGGCTGGGAGCAGAGCGACCCCGGGGGCTGTTTCCCAGCCCCGTGGCTATTCACATCTGCACGTAGAGTCTCACTGGCTCCTTGGGCCTGCTGCCCGTGACCACCACTGCCCGTTTGGCCCGTTTTTGACCCAAGCCAGGAGCTGCTGCTGCTTCCTCAAGGGCCTCCACTCCCACACGTCTTGTAGGCGGTGATGGAGCAGACCGGCAGGCCCGTCCCCGTCTCTCCCCGGTCCTGGGGCCACCCAGACCCTTCCCCTCCCGGCGAGGCGCTGGGGGACGCCTCAGACTGCAGGGCATCCGCACCTGGCCGCGCCCAGGGCGCTGCGCGTTGGCCTCCGAGGAGTAGCGCCACGCTGCCGCCGTCGCCGTCGCCGCCCGGTCCGCACTGCAGCCGCAGGCCCCGCCAGCCTTGCCCGCCGCCGCGCACAGCGCCAGGCCCAGCAGCAGCAGCGCCGCAGCCACGGAACCCCGCGCCGCCATGGGCGCGGCCATGTTGGCGCTGAAGCCACGTGACTGGGAGTCAGCTGACCCGACGCTGCTCTTAAAGGGCCAGCAGCCGCTGCGCGCCTCCCCGTCAGCCGTGCCCTGGGGGTGAGGGCCGTGTCCTGCCAGCTGTTGCCGTCTCAAGGCCTCGATTTCCCTGCCCAGGACTTGGCTCTAAATCTCCAGGAGAGGCAGTCACCCAGGAGGTCAATGATAGGGCATTCATTATGGTGAAATTAAAGCCCCCTGCATACAGCGGTGTGGTGGGTTTTTCCAGTTTAATAATTGTGTGCATTTGCCTTGCTGATGTAAAGTCATGAATGTCATTATGGCGTGTGATGCGAACGCCGTGTGTCCCCAGAGGTTGGGGGGGCACGGAGGTGGTGTCGGCAGCAGGGGTGGCGAGCGCTGACCAGCGGTGCCAGCCGCTCGCAGCAGTGGCTAGCGGCGATCGGGGACTGCCCGCAGACGGCACTGACCGCCCACGGGCAGTGTCGGTGGCGCTTTTTGCAAGGGGGTGCACGTGCACCTGCTACGCACCGCCACTGCTGTGTGATGAAACCTCCTGGAACAGACTTAAATGGAGCTGGCAAGCCTAGGCCGTGCTCACCGGAGGCCAGGATCTTCCAGCCACCAAGTGCCACAGCGGAGCACAGCTTGCCTGGCATACAGGGACGCGCCTGACACCACACATATAAGGCTGGGGGCAGGAGCCAAGTTACCAAGTCCAAGGAATGATCCATGGGGCCTTGTTGGAGAACAGAGCTAGCAGGGTCAGGAAACGGGAAGCCAGGAGCCAGCCGGGCATCTAGCAGAGGCAGAACTCATTAGCTCCAGGCCCATAGGCGATGCATGGGGGGGCATGTGCCCCCACTAAGATTGGCCGCCGCAGAAGCCACCACCAGCCTCTGCGGGCAGTCGCCCCTCGCCACCAAAGTTGCTGCCGGTGTCTGTCCGTGGTCACCAGCCCCCACTTCCACAGCCAACACTGCTGCCAGCGCCCGTGGACGGTCCCCACTCGCTGCCGCCAACACCACTGCTGGCATCTGTGGGTGATCCCTGCTTGCCTCCAGCCAGCGTCAACATTGCCACCAGCATCCGCGGGCAGTGCCTGCTTGCTGCTCACCACCCCCTTGCCCCTGCCACTGACACCGCTGTCGGCGTCCGCGGGCAGTCTCCGCTCACTGCTCACCACCGACTACAAATGGTGCCCACCCCCAGTCTCCGGAGGCACCAGTCATTCATGCCCAGACCCAAGACAGAGGTGGCTGGCAAGCCAGTGGTTTTCAGCTTGTGGTCTGTGGCCCCCTGGGGTTTCAGTCTGAGGGGGCTGCAAAAGGTGACTATGATCATTCAAAAGTATGTGAACACCCACACGTACAATTCACAGCAGTCAGCACTTCCGTTTGAAAAATATTTAGGGGTCTGCAAATGAAAAAAGGTTGAAAACCACTGGCCTAGATGATTAGCCCCGGCTGAGCTGCCTGCTGCTGTCCCTGGCCGAGTGCATGGGTGGGTGTTAAAGCCCTGGACCCAAAACCCATTAAAAACACCAGTGCAATTCCCAGGGTCCGGATTGATGCCAGAAGTGTTGTCTGCTGCAGGACGGCTTGTCTTGTTCACAGCACTGGTTTCCCTTCCTGGACCTCTGACAGGCCTGCGGGCAGGACATTTTTTTGGATGAATGAATGGGGAGAGGCAGCGTCAATGACTGGAGGAGAGAAGGCGAAGGCAAAGGCTCATCACCAGTCAAGAGCATCTTGACGAGGCCGCAGCTTTCATCTGGCAATAGCTTCTTTGCTGGAGTCTCTGCCATTGGAGGTTTGTTGTACGGTCTTCTAAAAATAGCTGTTTGTGCCGAAATAAACAAGACCAAAATAAAACCAAAGGACCGGCCCATATGCCGGGACATCATATCCTGTGCTCTGGACTCCGGGTGCGTTTCATCACTGTACGCAGTTTAACTGGATTTATTAGAAAGCCATGTCTAAGCTGTCCTTTATGAAATGTTGTATCTACTTTGTCACCCCTCCAGAAATAAAATCCTGTGGCCTTAACCTCCTTGTTTCCTGTTCTCACTCCTCAGGGAAAACATTGGAAAACTCAGAGGCTGTGTAGCTGGGAGTGATCTAGCTCTGGGCCCAGTGCACATTGAATGCTGCGCCTTGGGGTCACTGGATGTTCAGCTAATTATGCTATTAGACTATGTTTAGACCACAGGAAGAGCCAAATTAGGATGGTGCTGGAGTAATTATGCTGAAAATGTGAGGACTCATGAGAATAGGTTCATTTGCCAGCTCTTTTGGAAACAGTGGGGCAAAATATACCAATATCTCCTAGGGACATGCATTGAATGTTACTTTCCTCTAGCAGCAACTGTGTAAAATGCACAAACGGTTGTGGGGAGTTTGTCTTTTAACAGTAGAGACGACATGCCCCAGGAGCCATAGCTAAAAAGCTGCCTCTGCAGCTGGTTAACGCATGTGAGCATCACACCGTTAGCTGTTTTGCCTTAGCTTTCCTGAATGCTCCCACGTAGCCAGACTGCTGAGTTCTCTTCCTCCCCTTGGTCCTAGTTTGCAACGTGGCCTTGAATGAGTCAGTTTGCATCTATCTCTGCACCTCAACTGGAGACAATGATACTTATGCTCCTCTGCAAAGTGCTTTCAGAGGCATGGACAAAAAGCACTCTGAAGCGCTAAGCACTATCATTGCATGTATTAATTACATTAGGGAAATGCTTTCTTTGCCAATGTAAATGTTCTGGGAATGGCTCTGGGACCACATACCTCAGACTGACTAGACTTCCACCTCCCATTCTTTTTCTTTTAAAGCAAATCTAAGAAACAGCAGCTCTAAAGAGGAGTGTCTACATAATGAAAGCTATCCTCTGAGTCTCATCCAAGATGCAGCTGTAAGTCCCAATGAGCAGTCTGGCTCCGTTTCTGCCGAAATCAGTGGCAGAGCATGTACTGATTTCAGTGGGAGAAGGGGTTAGACCGCCACATTGAGCAAGAAAGTTGCAGGGTCCAAGGTGAAAGAGGGGGAGGTAGGCCTCCAGGATCCTAAGCATCGTTGTTCATGGGGGACGAGGAAGCCAAAACCTTTCGGAGTCATGGCTTAGAGCCAAGGAAGTAGTAAAGTTGCCCGTTGCAACCAGGGATGGCTCACTCTACATGTACCCTATCTTCTCGTCGACAGCATCCGCTCCTTGCCGCAGGTCCCCTGTGTGAGGAATCATGTTGGTATGCCATCTCATAAGCCATCATAAGGGGACAGTTCCCTGCCCCACTTCATGTACGGGAAAGGTAGTAATTTGTTGCCTGCTATGAGCAAGCAAATTGCTATCCCACTCCATGCCAGCTCAGCTGTGCTGGCTAGTGCTTTGAGATCAGAGCCAAGACTCAACCCACTTCTTCTCTTCCCGCTAGAGAGCTGGGGGAGTAGCAGGTGCTTGGTGCCTGCTTACTCCTGTAGCATCGATCCAAGATTCTTTCAGCTCACTCAGAGGCAAAGGGAGTTGGATCCTTATTGCCATACAGACCCGTGTGCAAGAGAGCAGGTACTGCAAGCCAGGATCTAACCCATTCAGGCCTTGATCAGCCATCCTTGTCTGTCCATGAATGAACCCACGGAGAGATTTTTCTGGGGGGTGGATTAGGAATGTAGAACAAATCTTCACTAATTCAGCTGAAAACCTTTGCTACCATCTTGATCTGAACAGATTAGACCCATTAGTCCTTTGAAAGGAGAAGGAAGAATTTCGTATTGCCTTTATCATTTGGACCCCTACTAGATTTAATTTCCTAGCCTGAACACTTCCTCCACGTTAAAATGACAGTGCTGGGAGTCTTCATATCCATGCTTTCCAGTTTATCTATCATGGGTCCCTTTTGCCCTGTGACGTACTTAAAACAAGGAACAGAGTGAAGAACAAACAAATGAACACAGATTTAATTACCAAACAAAGCCGCTCATGCTGCTTTTGGGGTCAGAAACTATAAACATTCTTCTTATTTACAGGAATGATTGTTACCCATTGCGCCCATTCAAATGCAGAGGAATTACCCCCAACTCACTGTCTTCCTCTCTATTTCCAGCCCAATGCAAATTGCAGGAAAATGGCACACTGAGGAATTCTGATACCTATAGAAGTGAAAACAATCGGCTGAGCAATTTCCCCTGCTTAAGACCACGTTATTTAAGTGTCATTGTGGGGTTCCAGCAAACCAGTTCTTACCCTAAGAATAGGGACGTGTCTGTGGTGTATCCTGCTCCTTTGTTCTCGTTCCTTCATTTTCAAAATGCTTTTATGCAGTTTTTCTGCACCTCCATGGAACAGATTGGAGCACCAGTGCTCCCTCCAAGGGCTGGATCCAACAGGGACAAAATACAGTTCAGTTCTGGAAAAAAAAACTGGCTTTTGCTTTGGAGCACTGAGGCTGCCAGGGTCTTTTTGCTGATTTCATCTATTAATAATGACTCTGCTCTCAACAGATTCAGAGACAACCAGCTTTTTCCACTGCAAGCTTAACCATGCCTCCCTTGTACGCAAAGTGCGTAGTAGCTCACTAAATGAATAGTCACGTTGACTTTACTGGGCTACTTCCTACAATAGTGTATGGTCCTCCCAGCATCTGACAGATTAAAGGGACTCTAGGAAGAGGTAAAGGCTTGGTTTTGCTTCTTTATGCTATAGAAATTAAAAACTGAAAAGCTTTTTGTCCATCTGTTTGTTCATTCAGAAAAAAAACAAGGATGTCAAAGCTCGTCTTGGTGGAGGTCTTCCATGGAAAACCTAGAGACACTGAGTGGAAGCACAACCCTCAACTGCACAAACCCAAATGCCGATGTTGAGCCTTTTTGCCTACCTAGAACTATCCACCATGGCTATGAACTCTTCACTTCCCCTGTGGCAATACTGAGCAGAGTGCTGGCACTGATAAGGGCCTGGTGGTGGGAGCATTTTGGTCACCATGCCATAGTGAGCCAGATTAGCTTGGTCTTTAA